CAACTGCATCATTTTTAAACCCTGGCGAACACGAGTCTGTCACTGTGGACCTGGATGGCTAAGGAGTGACCGTCCAGCCCTTTCCCCTACGGGTCACACGTTACCGTCCCCCCTTTCACACCCCCAGAAGCGTGAATTGAGCGCTGTGTCTTTAAGGCAGACGCGCGGAGGTTTCTGCACAGGACAAAATGTCTGCGAGGATCTGGAGGGGACCGGCGATCCCAGACTTCTTGTAGCCCGCCTCCTGCTCCCGCCACGCTTTGGGGGTGATGGGGTGAGTGTGCGCCGCCACGCAGGCGGCCGTGCTCCCAGAGGCCAGGTCGGGTCTAGGCCCTGCAGGGGTTTGGGGGAGAAGGGGGGCGGCGAAGGGAACGGGGACCAGTCTCGGGCCTCAGCGGCCGCAGGTGACAACCCACAAACGCCACTGTGCGGTATCATAACAGGCTGGCTGCTGCGCGGGCTGCGGGACGTGCCCTTCCTTCTCTGTGCTCAGATTGTTCCTAGTGGAAAAGACTCATGTGGCCCCGAATTCTGTCTAAAGGCACTGTTGAGCTTCTTTCAGCACCTTTTTGCTCCTCCTGTCCCCTTTCAAAAAAGTTATTTGAAAATATCGAAAATCATCTGCTCTCCTTTTAGTAAAATTGCCTTTTTACAGACTTTTAACAGTGGCAAATGGCTGTGTGCCCTGTAGTGTGCTCTTTCTCTGAGACTTTTTTTTATTGTTTCTCATTTTGGAGAGGAGAAGCAAAATACGAGCCAGATGCTCAAACAGGAATCCCTGCCCCCATCTCCACTGTGCTCAAACAAAAGAATTTTCCGATCCTCTCTGAGTCCAGAGGAGCAGTTTGCTGTTAACTACTTACAGTAGCCAAATGCCCGAAGCTTACCCAACAAAATTTTTTTTCTTCCTTGAAAGAAAAAAATACCACCCAAACTTTGAATTAGCCCAGAGTACATGGATATGGTGTTAAACAGAAGCTGTTGTAGAAAAAGCTTAATAGGGGCGCCTGGGGGTCTTAGTCGTTAAGTGTCTGCCTTCTGCTCAGGTCATGATCCCAGAGTCCTGGGATCCAGCCCCGCATGGGGCTCCCTGCTCAGCGGGAAGCCTGCTTCTCTCTCTCCCACTCCCCCTGCTTGTGTTCCCTCTCTTGCTGTGTCTCTCTCTATCAAATAAATAAATAAAATATTTAAAGAAAAAAAAAAGCTTAATAAATTGACATAATTAGGGTAATTATTTTATGCACTTTGCATTCTTGTATTATTTGTATGCCCTGTTTGGCCAAAACTGGCTTGAGGCAAAATACAATAAAAAGTATGTAACAATGTGTAAAATGGCCAAGAGCCAAAACAAGGTAATTCTCTATTAAAAATTCTTTGTATGACAAAGACTTCAAAGTAGGGCAGTTTTAAATTCCTGTAATTCATACTACGGTATGCATTTTACAAGACAAAATGGATCAACACCCTTCTTTTGAGGAATGTATGTATTAAAGTAATGTAGACCTAAAATAAAGGTTCAGTTTAGGATAGAAACTTTTCATTTTTAAAAATGCATTAATTGAGAATACATCTGGCCTTTTAGCTAATGGTAGAGGTATCTAAAATTTTGGCTTAACACATTCAAAGAACATCTCTGACTCACCATACAATTAGCTGTGGGTTTAGTACAATTTTTACAGTCCATGTGTAATCTTTTATCTAAATATTTTCACACTTACCCTGTACTGTCTGAGCTGAGTATCCACACTTCACAGTTTGGAGGCATTTTTTTGCTTTTTAACTTCATCTAAGTCTTCAGCCTCATGATCCCAGACTAATTTTTCTGATTGGCTGGATCTGTTTATAAAGAGATGAATCCATGGTAGTAAACTAATATTTTTTTAAATTATGTTATGTTAGTCACCATACAGTGCATCATTAGTTTTTAACAGAGATGGACAAGTAACAGGTGAACAAATTGTGGTTTCCTTGATATTTCAATTGTCAAGGCTAATTATTTGTTTTAATTATTATGTTCTGCTTTGACTGAGTTACTGGTGGATGAAGTAAATGAAAATTTTTTTTTTTAAAGATTTTATTCATTTATTTGACAGAGAGAGATCACAAGCAGGCAGAGAGGCAGGCAGAGAGAGAGGAAGGGAAGCAGGCTCCCTGCTGAGCAGAGAGCCCGATGCGGGGCTCGATCCCAGGACCCTGAGATCATGACCTGAGCCGAAGGCAGCGGCCTAACCCACTGAGCCACCCAGGCGCCCCGTAAATGAAAATGTTTTTAGTGTTTCCACCCAAGTAGTAAATTTCACATTAGTGTGAATTTCTTACCTAAGATCCAGGCTCAACATACATGTATTTGTTTATAACTCTGTCAGATTAATCCATCTGAAGTGATTAGCCTTGTCTGTGGAAGAACAAACAGAGTTATAGTTCATTTGCTATTCCTTTTTGAGAACATTGCCTGGTTCTTTGGTCTTTAGCCTGCCTAATATTTTGTATGTGTCCTAGCATAAGTATAAAGTAATAAAATTAACTTCTGTGGGTGTTTTATAGAATGATTCCTAATGTTACAGTCATGTATGTATATACACCCAAATTTACAAAAATTATTCATCCAACTTTTGATCTCCCTTATTCTCTATATTGTTATTCAGGGAGATGATACTGAAGCATCTGGGTTTTAATCTGATATATTATTAGAAAACTAGAAATTTAGAGAACTGCAAATAAAACTTCAAATGCAGTTTGAAATAATTAATGTGCATTTATTATCTTCCACAGGCTTAAACGTCTTATCATTCCTTCCAGATAATGGATACTCAAATGAAACTCACTATGGGCAAGTTCAGAGGTGTGGTACCAACTCTTCCCTCTTCCATGAAATAACTAAAATCTACTTTTCTTTCAGCTTTTTCCCCTCCCCCAAATTGGACTAGAACATTTCCATTATTAAATTAATTTCATGCTAGCTACTTCCACTTAGCATCAAGAAATCTTACTTTAAAATATGAGCTTGGAAGCCTAGTTATAAGACTAAAGAATTGGAACTTTATGAGAGTCAGCACTAGTGACTATGTGTTTTTGTGAATTTGGGGCCCTGAAGGAGCTCAGGAAGGGAGGAGATGCTGAAGCAGGAGAGTCTGCATGAACATTTGTGTTAGGGCCCCCAATGCCCACCCTTTCCCCAGTATAGTCATTGCATGATGGAATTCACCCTCATGAGCGAACAGTGCTCTGACCTTTACCATGTGTATCAGAATTATTGCGGAAGCGTCTCCCCCCACCAGACATTTTCTTCACTTTAGCTGACCATGTAGTTAATAGGTGTGTGTTTTTCTTGGTTACTTGGTAAGGAAGTATTACACATCGTAGGGTTCCAAGTCACCAGACCTCCCCATCATTTTCTACCTGAGAGAGGAGCAACCTATTTTTCGTGAAGGTTCATTTATGAAGTGAAAATAAATTCGGCTGGGGAGGTTAGATGGATCTGTGATTCTTTTTTGCTTTTTATATTCAAAATCCTCCAGAGAATATTTCCAACTTAAACTACGTACTCTATTGAATAACAATGTCAAAGAGAGTAATAACACTCCCTTTAGCCACTAAGATACTAATGTGGGTGTGTTTGAGCAGTAAAGCCTGGTAGTCTTTTTTGTTCAGGCCCTGAAGTTATACAGCACTGCAGAGTCCAACAGTAAGATCATTTGGATTATCTGATTTCAGCCACAGGTTTAGAGGCAGATAATCTTATCATTTTCCTTGACAGATGGAGAGACTGGGATTTGGTGAACTGGGTCTAAGAAAACTAGAGTCAAGTTCATTGCATTGAATGTAGCGTCCCTTGAGTGCCAAGAGAGATGAGCAAGGTGGGCAGTCCTCCCACAGCACCTCCATCTCCTGTGCATATAGAATCTCCTTCTGTTCAGGCAGGACCAGCAAACCACCTGATGCTGAGCAACCTCACACACTGGGTTCCCTCCAGGGCCGGATGGCAGCACGCTATGCCCCACAGGACTGTGCTCTCCAGTCTCCATAGTTAAGGCTGCCTAGCCCAGCTTGCACTCACATGCCTGAGGATTTATAAAATTACTTTGTATTTACGTTGTTGGGAAGCTACTCTGTGAAGGTGCATACACAGGTTGTGTCTTTCCATAACATCCACTTTATTGAATCATAAAGCAATGTTAACACAATTGTAAAAGCAGGTTCAGAATTCCAAACTCAATGACATTTCATTGTGCATTTAACTTGGCTTCATACGAGACTTAAAAACAATAGAAAGTACAATATAAAAGTCACAAGACAAGATAAAATAGGGGATGTTAATGAACCAAATGCAGTCTGTCTATGAGCGCACAGCTGAGATGAGGTCTTGACCAATGTGGGTCCACTCAGTGCTTCCCTTCCTGCTTAGTACGTTCAAGCAGTGGAGGATCCCTGTTATTTTCGGAGATCAACTGGGCAGAATCTTCAGTAGCAGTTGCCTTTTTGATGCGGTCAGATGTGGAAGGGTCAGCATCTGGAGAATAGAACAATTTGCTCTAAAAATCTTCCCTTTTTAAAGGAGTTTGATGAGTCTAGCCCTTCCAGACTTCTGATTCTACTGATTACCACTTCTCGGTTCATCCAGGCTCTCTTGCTGGTCATCACTTCTGGGTGCCACCAGGCTGAGACTTTTGGTGATATTTATTCTTAGTTTATCACCCTTGTCTGCTTTCCTGATTCATGACATCATTGCTGGACATGAGTGACTCCATCTTGCCTCTCCACATTATATGTAGACCCTGCCATATATGTAGTCTACCTAAATGTACCCACAAATGTGCATACTTTCCTAGGACCTCTTTACTCCTCTCCTCCTTTTGTGTTTACCTCTTCCCATTCTCTTTTCACACCAGCTGCCACTCCTCAACCGACAATGTATCTTCCTCCTTATTTTTCTTCATATATATATATAAAATCTTCATATATGCTACACAGATCTGTATTAATAATAATGACATCATAATATACATATTTTTCTGCATCTGGCTTTTCTTCCTGAAGAGTTCCTCCAGAAATCCCTCTAGGTCGTCTAGCAAGAGCTCCAATCCATCCTTTTTAATGGCTGCACAATATTCCCAGGTGTGAATACACATTATTTACCCAGCCATTTTCCAGTCGATAGGTGTTTCTGTGTTTCCAGTTTTTTGCCATTCCAGACAATACTGTAATAAACATCCTAATACACATTATTTTACGTATTGGTACTTTTAGTTCTACAGAATAGATTCCCAAGAATGGGATCCCTGATTGTATCTATTTTTAATTAACAGAAGTCACCAGACTGCTTTCCTAAAAGCCTCCACATCTCCACTAGTAATGCACTAACGTACCCTTTTCTTTGCCTCCCTTCTAGCTTTGGCTGACAGACCTCTTTTGTTTTTGTTAGGGTGATGGATCTAAAATGAGACCTTACTATTACTTTAATAGCACTTCCCTGAATATAAGTGCTGTGTATCTTTTCACAAATTCCTTGGCCATCTGACTTTGTTCTTAGGTCATTTACCTACTCGTATTTCTTGCCCATTTTTCTATTGGATTGTTCGTGTTTTTCTTGTCAGTTTGTAAGAGCTCTTTGTGTATTAGGGTTGTGGCTGAAGTTGCTAAGGCTTCTCTCCCAACCCAAGATAGCAGACTAGGAGGCTTCTCTCCCTCTGTACTGTAGGGATAGTTGAAACAAGCCCAGGGGTTGTTTAGCAGAACTAGGAAGGCTATGATGACCTCTGGCCACAGACACCTGGTCACTGTTTAGATACTTAGTCTGAACAGAAGACTGTATTGAGCCAGAATGTAGCTGTGTGCGGAGGACTGAGAAGGTGAGGCAGTTCAGTACTGTGCTGCTTTCTACCGGTTAAGACCTCCGAGAGTGAAGGCCTGCCAAGGCAGAGGATGTCCCTCTGCCGCCCTTGGAGGGGCAGCGCTGTGCTGGCCAACATTTATGGTGCTGCGTGTCCCTGGCTCAGATGAGGCAGTCCGCTATGTCCAAAGGATTAAGACATCAAAATCAGTGCTTCTCACTCTTGTTTCCACCTTCGCTGTGACGACAGATGGCATTCATGTATGTGGCACTCCTCTGGGCATCCCAGATTTTGAAGAAACTCAGAAACATCTTGCAGGGAGGTAAAGCATGACAGTAATTGGTCACCCCTGACACTTTTAAGGGCACATCAGTAATGCTCACTCTCAGACTTTGGCACAGGTAAGATAGTCTGCAGTTTTATATACAGTTTTCAACCCCCCCAGCTCAAGAAAGCATATCAGAATGCAAAGTGTTAGTCTTGATATAGAAAACCTTTAAATCTCTCTTAATTTATAAAAATTCAAGGATTCATAATCCTATTCTCTCCCCTTTGTGTCTATCTAATAAGAAAGGAACTCTGTAAAGAGAGGATTCTAATGTAAAAGAAATGAACTTTTAAAAAAAAATAGAAAAAATTTTAGGTGAATTTAGGTTACCAAAAACAATTTTTTATACTAAAATCTGGTCTGTTTACTAACCATAATGTTACATAACCATAATGTTTACTAAGCATAAATGTAAAAAATTATCCTTGAAAATGGGGTGTAACTCCAGTCCTCATCCTATTACTCCCCCTTCCGGGACTTCAGGGATTTAGTAAATCTCTTGGAGGAAATCTAGCCTTTTAATTTCCAAAGACTTTTTATATACTAATTGGCCTTCATGAGGAACTACATTCAAATCAGTGCCTGCTGTATCACAAGATATGTAAATAGCTAGGTTTTTTTGTTAGAAGAGGGCTGTACTTGTCTTTTTTGATGATTCTGGTAAATTTGTTACGTTTTTTCAAAATCTGATATGTTAAATGTCATGTCTGACCCTGACTAGAACAGCTCGGTAACAAGACTCTTAGCAACTGAAATAAAAGCTTACACTAAATACTACTACTATTAGAGCAACTTATTTTTCCTGTTCTTAACTGTGTCTTCCGTTATTCCCAGTGACATTATAAAAAGAGATTCTGGACATTTATCATCTCCACTGCTGTTGGTTCAAAACTTGACAGTACGAATGGACACAGGCTATCTCACTATGCATCTTGGCCTTGATTTTCCCCCTGAAATAAGCTCTCAGAAGACCTCTAAGCCTGCGTGTTCTCTTATTATTTTTAAATTTTCAAAACAAATTTGTTTAGAATCACACATTTGGTCCTTTATGAAGTTACATCCTGAAGAATAAACTTCACCTTTTCTGTTTCTCCTTGTTTGACAGATTATTGCTGTGATAAACAGTTTTAACAGGAAAGACTTTACAATGATAGTCCCGAGGTTGTGTTTGTATCCTTTGATATTTGTTGGATATTTGTTGGACAGAGCAAGAAGCTATTAGTTTTCTTTATTTCCTTCCTCAATTAAAAGCATTGACAAAGGTTTTTATCTTCTAAATGTATAAAGGGGATGAGCAATACAGAAAACTGATTTGTTTTATAACTGGAGCAACTCTGACAGGGTGAGAGGAAAAAAAGAACACGAGAGTAACGTGGTGCTAGCCAGCATTTCTAGTATCTGTTTAGGGAGCTGTTTACTGAATTTCTTTTACTCACCGCCTGCCCTTTTATTACTCCTAGCACTGCTGATGGTTCTTTAGAACTCGGGATTCATGCTGCAGTGTTTCTACAGGAGAACTGACATTGGCTGGAAACCCTGAGGCATGACAGGGACCCCCAAGGCCCACAGAATATGGCCTACCAACTAACTTAGAGGTAAAATTTTACAAAACTGCTTTGTATATTTGTTTTCCTAAATATGTATACTTTTAAAACATTTTAGTGGTTTTTAGTACTGCCATTTTCCTCAGAAGCACATCGTTTTTAAAGTCATAAAACAAAGACTTGTATTTTGAAAAACAACGTCCTCACTGAAAGGTCTTTAAAAAGGCTGTTCGCGCGGGGCACCTACACCCATTAAGTTTAACAAACCAATTTTCTTTCCCAAGGCTTTCTTTTAGCCTCGTTTTTACAGTCTGTCCCCTAACCCTGAGAGCAGAAGACAAAAGGAAGTTTACTCTGCCAAAAGTAACCTTTGTATAAGAGAGCAGGGGAGACTAGTTAAAACTCGTTAGTACAGCACTGACTGGGCTGGGCTTCCCCTTTGTTCGTGTCAGCCCCTGTGAGCGGGGGACTCGTCTGATTTTGAAGAGAGCTCCCAGTTAAGGGGCGGAAGGGCTAAGCAGGGCTAACATTCCCTGAGGACTAAACCATGTAACAGGAAAAAGAAACCCAGGTACCACCCAGACGTAATAAAAAGGCGGCCACCTCTGGCCACCGAAGTTGTGCGTGTGAGTGTGTGTCGTCGTGTGGCTGTCCTTACCCCTTTCTCCCTCGGAACGCAGGCGCGGCGGAGAGAATGCGGAGTGACGAGCTGGCGACGCCCATGGAAGACACCCGCGGGCCGGACAACGCGGCGGCGCGGGGTGGCCCGTGTCCCGGCCTGGCCCCAGCGCCTCCCGGCCGCCTAGGGGCGCCGTACTGCGAGGCCTGGGGCTACTTTCATCTGGCCCCCGCGCGCCCGGGCCACGCCGCGGGCCAGTGGGCCACCTGCCGGCTGTGCGGGGAGCAGGTGAGCCGCGGCCCGGGCTTCCACGCCGGCACCCCGGCGCTGTGGAGGCACCTCAAGAACGCGCATCGGCGGGAGCTGGAAAAGAGCGCCGCCCGCCGCTCGCCGCCCGCCGCCCGCCGCTCGCCGCCCGCCGCCCCTTGCCCGGCGCCGCCGCCGGGCCCCGCCGCGGCCGCCGAGGGCGACTGGGCGCGCCTGCTGGAGCAGATGGGCGCGCTGGCCGTGCGCTGCAGCCTGCGTGAGCGCGAGCTGGCGCGACGCGAGGCGGCCGTGGAGCAGGGCGAGCGCGCCCTGGAGCGGAGGCGCCGGACCCTGCAGGAGGAGGAGCGCGCGGCCGCCCAGGCGCGGCGCGAGCTGCAGGCGGAGAGGGAGGCGCTGCAGGCGCGGCTGCGGGAAGTGAGCCGCCGCGAAGGCGCCTTGGCCGCCGCCCCTGTCCCGCTGCAGACCCCGCTCAAAGAAGAGCCCGAGGGGGAGAGGGACGGCTACATAATCACCAAGGTCCTGCTGTAGGCTGTGGCCGCCTTCCGCCCCCAGTCCCTCCCATGCCAGCGCTGCTAAGTGTCCCTGGACCGGCCTTACCTAGGACCTGAATCTCAGGCCCGCCGACATCACCGGTGGGCCCTTGAGAAGCACTTCAGAGGCCAAAGCAAAACCAAAAATCACTAACGCTCCGTGACAACCCCCAACCCCGGGGGCCTGGGAGCACAAGCTCCAGTGGCCTCCTTAGCTCTTGGCCTTTAGTGAGCACCGGTGCAGGAGCTGGTTTTCCTCCAACTGCCTTTGGAATGACAGCTCCAGCAACTTCATGAGACTAGGTCACCGGAGCAGTCTTGTAGCCAGTGACTTTGAAAGGACAGAAACTTCCTCGTGTACCAAAGACTATCCTACTACGTGCCTGTACACCAGCCAGGGCAACCCAGGGTGGAGGGTGCTTGGAAATTAGGATAAAGCATTTTATTCAAGAAGACTTTTACTCACTTCCCAATGAATAAATCAATCTTTGGTAATTGGTTTGCCTAGCAGGAAGTTCTGAAAATGGGGCCATTTAGCTTCCACAACAGCTCTTTACCCTGCCCTCTCTAGTGCCTCATCAGAGCAGTCTGGGAGAACCCCTATTTACTCCACTCCCTAGCTTGCAGATAGTACCAAGTGCACCCTGTCCTCACACCAGCTGTTTTCTTTCCGTTTCAGACCTAGTGCCAGCTGTAGTGAGTTTCCCAACTTTCCTGCCTCACACTCCCTTACTAGCAAAACATGACCTCCTCCCTCGTTGTTAGGAAGATAACTTGGTTTCCCACATATCCACAGTCCTCGCTTCTGGGCCACAGTAGAAGGAAAGCATTCCTTCAATCTGAGGCCATCTCTGCCTCTTTATCTGTTCTCATCCATTTCTCTTCCACCATTACTGGACCTTTGCTCCATTATTATTTCTTCTTTCCTCTTATTCCCTCCCTTCCCCAGACTATGGTTCCTCAGTAACACCCAGTCTACCCTTGTACTAAAAAGAAAGACTCCCCCAGCCTGGCTGCTCCCACTGAACACTAGCCAAGGGAGGCCTGGTTATTCTTGCTGCCTATACTTCCTCCCATACTTCAGTTCTTCACTAGTGGTCAGCTTCCCATCCTACCCTGGACCCTTAAGAAGCTGAATATGACAATTTATGTTCAGCCTTCATCTTGCTAGTACAATGAACATCACATATACCCTCCACCTAGACTGAGCAATTGTTAACATTTTGCCTTATTTGCTTTTTCGGCCTCTCCCCCAAACACACCTCTCATTTCATCCATTAGTATTTCAGCATATATATCCTAATAGCCTCTAAAGTAGTCCTTAATCAAAATTCTGCAATTGTCTCAGAACTGTCTTATCTTCTCTTAAAAAAGGGGGAGGGGTCCAATCAAGGTTCATTATTTTTTATTATAACTTTGTCTCTTTTAGTCTAGAACAGCTCCTACGACACTTTTGAGAGTTCCAGCCATCTGTCTTATAAAATGTCCTTTATTCTGGGTTTGTCTGATTGTTTCCTTAAGTCAATTTATGTACTCATTCTTGACTCATCTACCCCTGTGCCAGTGACTCCTGACTACCTCCAGCCTCGAGGTTCTTCCCAGTTCTGTCCTTCATGTCCAAACCCCTGCTGCATGTCTCCACCTCTATTTGTATATCCTGCCACTGCTGATCCAAAGGGCAAATCTATTCCATTTCATGTTCCCACCCCTTACCTAATAACTAACATTTACTGGGCTCTTAAAATGTACAGCTACGTACTGCACACTACATGCATTACCTCACTTTATTCTCATAGCAGCTCCCTAAGGAGGTAGTAATGTAATGCCCATTTACGGCTACGGAAACTGAGATACAGAGGCGTTAAGCAGCTTCTACAGGATCGCAGCTGGTAAGTAGTAGCGTTGAGATCCAAATCCAGTCTCCACCTCCAGACACGCTGTTCCTAGCTGCTGTACTGTCTCCCTTGCTAGTCACTGAGCTGACACCAAGTTTCCTCCCTCTCATTCCAGGTACTACTGTCAGTGACATTAACATGCACTGAGCGTTCACCATCTGCCAGAGCTGTGCCAAATGCTTTACAAGAATAACTGCCTACCATAGAGCAACCCCATGACATATTTAATACTATGCCCATTTCAAAAAGGAAGAGACAGGCTTAGGGAGTTAAGCCATGTCGAGGCAGAATGGGAATTGAACTCATGTCACTGAATCCCAGGTCCCTGATTTACTAAGTCTATTTCTACAAATCGTCACACCTGTCTTCCTTCTGATGCCACCTGCCAAGCTCAGGCCTCCCCTTCCTAACACTCAACTTGACCAAAGGGAACTGTTTTTTTTTTTTAAGATTTTACTTATCTGACAGAGAGAGACACAGTGAGAGAGGGAACACAAACAGGGGGAGTAGGAGAGGGAGAAACAGGCTCTCTGTGGAGCAGGGAGCCCCATGCAGGGCTCAATCGCAGGACCCTGGGATCATGACCTGAGCCGAAAGCAGATGCTTAACTACTGAGCCACCTAGGCGCCCCCAAAGGATCTGTTCTAAGCCAACATTGATTATATCACAATTCCTGCTCAAAGGCCCCCCAAGATCACCCATCATTAATAAGCTTCAACTTTGTAGCCTGACATTCAAGTACCCCAACCCTGCTGCCAGTCTTATCTGTCCCCTCCCCTACCTATACTATATGCTCCAGCCCAACCGGACTCTTTGTTCTTTTTGACATGCCCTCGTCTTGGCACCTGTATGCCTGTTTGCCTCGCTCTACTTAAAAGGCCTTTTCAGTCTCTGAGTATGAAGAATTCCACCCATTTTCAAAGACCAAGCTCAATTCAACTGCCTGCATGAAGCTTTCCTTGATTATTCCTAATTTAGAGATGATTCTTTACTTCTCTGGACTCCTTAGCATTTTATAACCTCTTAACCCTTAGAACGTGCCATCTGGCATATAATTCTATGGGTTCTTGTCTTTCCTCCTGCCAGACCCGAACCCTTGGGTCTATTCCTACAGTGCTTTGCATATAATAGCTGCTCAATAAATATCTGAGGCATTGAACTCAATGTGTTGAGTTTTACAAGTCAGTTTTCCCAGTTATTAATATAATTATTCATTTATCTTTAATTCTGAGAAGTCACAGCAGAAAAAAATAGCCTAGAAGGAATTAGCAGTAATAATTTTTTTAAGTTTTTTAGTCAAGTGTCCATTATTGCACTGTTCGGTTTGAATCCAAATTAGTATTTCACTACTAGTATGTCATTATAAGGAATGTTTTTCTTAAAATGTTTTTCATTACCCAAATAACACAAAGGCAATGCCCCAATCTAGGAAGAAATCAGAACAACCACCCCCAAGATCCTGTCACCTTAGGAAAACTGTATAAACATTTTAATGTATTTTATTCTTTCGTCTTTCACAGTCTTTACATTTCCTAAAAATAGTATGTTATTTCTATTAAGTACTGAAATGTAACTTCTTCATTTGGATGTATAACTTTGGCTATATGAGGAATTTGAACATTTTAGAAGAAAAAAATCATCTACAAACGTTACTCTTCTATTTCACCAACTGTTAGAACCATTAATATCAGCAAAGATTGACTTTTAGAGTCTCCAACTGCTCGCTCAAGAAAGATGACTAATGGGAGCACCAATAGCTTCTGTTTGCAAGACAGGGGGAAATAGCCTGACTATAACTCAGTGCTGGCGGTGGGAGTTAAGCAAAGAGATTTTACTTTCTGCTTTATATAGTTCTGCATTATTGTATTTTTTTTTACACCAAGCATGAATTACTTTTATAATAAAAAATAAAATTATTTACATTTCTCAAATTAGAACTCCTGACAATTCCACTTTCTTAGGTAAAATACACAAAACCCAACAAAGACTAGTGTAATCCCCACTTTTAGAAAAGCCTAGAGAGAAATGCAGCCCTTGTCCAGTCTAACACTATCATTTGACAGAAGAGAAAAATGAGCCCGAGTGACTTGCCCACTATTAGGAGATAATGGCTATGGTGGTTCAGTGACTCCAACCCCAACAGATACTGTGCCTCTTTAGCCTTAAGGACTTCTGCTGGCTCATCTGTCAAAGCCCAAGTGCTGTCAGGACCAATAAGTCAAGCTGGCCTCCAGAGAACATAGAGATGGGTTATGGGGACTGCACTGGTCTGCCTGTGACCCAGTTGACTCACAGCTGTCATTGCTGATGGGTGACAGTGACACAACTCGCCTAGATCAGCTGGGCTTCCCTGACTTCCATGACTGGGTTTGCTAATAGAGCCACCCACATGCTGCCTTTGAGAGCAAGCACTCAGTGGCGAGGTGGATGGCTGGAACGGGGATGCAGAATGCCCTGAACCCAACTTCTGAACTCCTCCCATGATGTAAAGTCATCAGTTACTTCTTTAAGTTAAAATTTGGCAGAGACGAGGGGGAAGCAAAGCAGGGTTACTGACAGCCAAAGTTGAAACAGCTAGAGCCCTTTATATACCCAAGTTGTCATCCCTGGAGCTGGGGGACGGAAGAGCTGGTTTGGGCTTTCTATTTTAAATAGCTGTCCATATCTTTGACATCTTAGGCATTCATTAAGACTGGGCTTTTGTTTTGCTGTCACTCAATAGGGAATTCTACTTTTAAATGTTTGAACTTCTTACCTTTCCACAATCTAAATCTGCTTGTCTGCAAAATGGATGAGGTGATCATTAATGTCCTCTTTGGCTCCAACATGATTACATGCAATAGTTTAACATCAACTGACCTTTGAGTCATTGAGTTGTTTAACTGGATTTTCTTGTTCACTTTAGAAGAAATGTTGACAGTAACATGCTTATTCTCAAAAACAAAAACATAAACAGGAGTATATCAAAGTTCTTCCACAGTATTGAGGTACTCACTCTATCGTTCACTCCCTAGAACCAAAGATGTGTGCAACGGTCATGAGTATGCTCTCTTGTACCTACTCCTTTGTCCTCATAACATAATTGTCCAGATTTTACAAATGAGGCCACACACTTCAACAAGGCGAAGTGACCTGCTGAAAGACAACAGCAAATTGGAGGCTGGAGCTCAGTCCATGGATTCCAGTCATACCTGGGACCAAATTTCCTCCCAGGCTTCCGTTATGGTCCACCTCTTCACCAGTGCTATCCTGGGTGGAGTACTGACAGTTGGGTTGATATTGGCTGCTTTCCACCCACAAGTTCTATTGCCGGGGGTAAGCCAGACCATAAGGAAGTGAGGCTGACCATTGTATTAGTTTGCTGTTGTAGCAAATTACCACAAACCTCGTGCCTAAAAACAACACAAGTTAATTATCTTAAAGTTCTGTAAGCCAAAAGTCTGAAATTGAACTCAGTGTCTGCAGATTCATGTTCCTTTCTAGGGGCTCTAGGAGATGGTTTTTTGTTTGTGGTTTTGTTTGTTTGCCTTTGCCAGCTTCTAGAGGCTGCCCACATTCCTTGGCTTGTGGCTCCTTCTATCTTAAGGTCAACAAGGGCCATTCTTTCTCACATTCCATCACTCTGATACCCTCTTCCACATTAAATGGACCCTTCTCCTTATTTTATGGTCTGTTGGTTAGCAACTTAATTCTATCTGCAACTTTAATTCTTCCCTGACAGGTAACATACTGATAGTTTCCAGGGATGAGGACATAGACATTTGCTAAGGGGCAAGTGTGGGAATCTATGGTCTGCCTACCACATAGCATTATCCTGCTTTGCTTAGGTTTGGAGGTATATGAGAAAGGCAAAGTGCTTGATGGGGAATCCCTATTCCCCAGAAATCGATAATTTAATGGGGGTCCTAATCTCACCCCCTTTTGTAAGTCTGCTCAGAGCAGAGAGTGCTCATAGACTTTTCTGAGATAGATACCTGCTAGGTGGGTGTGAAGGATGCCTCTAAGGGGAAATCAGAGGCCTCCATAGTGTTCAGAATTAAATATTTAAATATCTGTGCACTCACTAGGACCTGACTGACTAGGAAGGTCAAGTGGTGATGTGTGACTTGTAAGCCTTTGGAGTCAGATATGAATTAAAATTTAAGCTTCCACCAAAGAAGAGAGTACTCAAATATTACAATTAATAAAGTTGTTGAAATATTTTTTTAAGAATCTTAAGCTTCCAGCCATGCATGTTACATGTCACCTTGGCAATCACCTTAACCTCTCTGAAACCCAGTTTTCTCATTGGTAAAATGGGAATAATATATACAACGATTAAATAAGATATTATTTGGGCAAATTTTGACATATAGTTTAAACTCAGTAACTATGACTTCTTTCTTTTTCTCTTAACTGAATGGGAGCTCATAACCAATCCAAAGGATCTCAGAAAGAGCAGGTTCCCTGGGATGATTCCTGAGAGCGGCTGCTCACAAGCCACACAGGTTTGCAAGTCATTTTCCTTCATGATAAATACCTGAGTTCTCAAATAAGCTAATCCAGTCAAAATTCTGTAACACTTTTGACTATAAAGTAGTTTGACCAAAATTACAAGCCAATATATCAAAACCTATTCATCTAACTACTTTTCCCTTCAAAGCAGTTACCTTGAAAGACTAGAGAGTTATTCCAAAAATGCTTCCATACTTAAAACATCTCTGGAACTCCTCTTCTACGGTAGCTCTCAGTTTCTGTAACATTCTTAAAAACATCCTTAAGTTGGGAAATACTCATCTTTCCAGGAAAATTCTGATTTTTTTAAAAGAGCAGCCAGTAATTCAGAGCCCATTCTGATAAATATGGTAGATGATTAACCAGATTAACATTACTAGTAAATAAGGTGTACTATAATAAAGCAATAATTATTTTTGTGTGGCTCATAAACTGGCCTTCATAGTGTTATATATTAAGGTTAAGTAAAGATAGCATGGTCATAGTAGACATTAAGGCCCACTTAGTGGGTTTATGATGGGAATTAATTCAAATAGCACTGGGAGTCATTACATATTTAAATAGTATTAAATGTTTCTTTTTATGAAAATTGTAATTATGACATTCTCTGAAATCTGATTTCATAGTACTAAAATAAAGGCTTTAAGGAAAAGCATTAAATGCTAATGAAAGCTTTATTATTTCAGTATATATTCTCCCAGGCCTTTGGTCAAGGTAAGTAATGATCAGATGAAGGAGTTGGCAACCTTCCTGGCCTCTACAGTCTACTAGTAACTGAAGGCTAAGTAACACACATGTTTAAATATATTGAATAATATTCTACCAACTTCTTCCTCTCTTTGCTTTCTGGACAATGAAATATCATGGCATCTTAACACAGATGAAGGAAGCTAGCTTTTTGTTGGAAGAATTTCTGAAAAGTCATTCTTACTCAAACAGGTGGTT